TGAGTGAAATAAATACCAGCGGCCAGCAGTATTACCAAACATCACATCAAGACAAACAGAAACAATAAACCTGTGCAGTCAACTGAAAAAAGTGAGGTTATTGTTGTCATTTTATGCTGATGCCAGTGCCCCACTGCGGGTATTTTGCGTAATCGTTCAACCCTTATTTACGAATTATAATTGGTCAGAACTTAGAAATGTGGATAAAGCTGTCACGTACCACTTTTAGACCAATTATGTCGGGTGACGCGATTGGGCGAAATATGTCATGGAAAACTGGGAAACCTGCATGCGTTACGTGTAATGATGATTGCTAACTTATAAGTTATAGTACCTGGAGTAATTTTTGTTACCATTATAAACTTTAAAGATTTATAAGAACCTTTTATAAAATCAAAAAAAGCTATATAGGGTACCATAATTTATGTAAAGTTCCTTTAGGTAATATAAAGGTAATTAATTTTTCAAATTAAACTAGTCTTCATTCTGCCATATTTGATTTGCAAAATAAATGGACGCTGTTTCACAGGTCAACGTGAAATTCAAAAATTTAGGGCAATTAGCTAACAATTTGTGATAAATATGCATAAGAACCTCATATAATTAAATAAGCAACTTTTTTCTCAAGAACTTGTCACTTAAATATTAATATTTTTTTAAAATTTTATTTTTATATTTATGGCAATACAATCAAATATGGTTCTTTCAAAAGGCGCTCGCATTTTTTGAAGGTATAACATGTATATTTATCAGTAAAAATCGCTTGGCAATGAAAATTCGGACCAGGATCAATGGTTAAACCTAAACAACACTATTTTTATGTGAATGTGAAACAAGTACTCATCTTGCAGACGCCATTGGTGCAACATAGGACTTCTTGTCCTTGTGCATTTATTTATCCCTTCATGAGACGGAGGCGCTGGAGGCATCATCATCAAACAAACATAGACATACCCAAAAATAATTAAATAGATAAAGACAAAAAGAAACTTGTTACTCCAGGTGTCAACATCATTTAATTTATATTTTTATAAAGGGTTTATAAGGTTTCTGGAAATATTTAAATAAATACTTCTATAAATCTTACAGTTATATTACGTTACTAACACAGGTGTCGGTAACCTTTATAAACTCCGCCATTTAAGTGTTTTAAGGCTTTTATAAGGGTGATGTAAATGTTTCCCACATATTATTATTGAACTATAGGTTACTTAAAGTGGGTGTTGTAAAATATACGATTACCAATATATAACTAAAAATGTTTATTGGGATCCAATCTGTATCTGGCGGATCTTAATACAACTCATTACATCTTGGATAGCGAAATTTCTTTCCTGCTTTCCTGTGTCTCTTTTTAATATTTTTTGTGATTTAGTTTTCTCACAGCCTATCTTTCGCTTAACTGTTTTAACTATTTTAGCTTTTTCAGCCATCTCTTTTCCCAACTTAAGTAAGTCTTTCCAACTCCTGCTTGTAGGGTGATTCAGTTAGGATTTCAGATTTTTTAGACTTTCTAACCTTTCTAACATTAGCGCCTGCTTTAGGATAAGGTTTTATGTCTTGTGGAGAAACTAGAAAAGATGAACGTGATTCGGTTTCAGATGTCGAAATATTAGGTGCCGGTTCAGTAGTTGCAGGTAAGGCTTGTGAAGAGACCAGAAAATTAGAATGAGTTTCGGATTCAGATGCCTCTTTATTGAGTGCCGACTCAGAAATTGACGGTTGACTTTTTTGAGGCTCAGAAATAATTGTAACCGGTTGGAAGTTGGGTTTTAAGATCACCTGGGAGATTATTTTTATGGGTGTAGAAGCTAGAAGCCATAGAAGATTTAGCCGGTGACTTAAAATTGTTAAACCGTAAAATGTATTATCCAAGACATTGCAGTATTGGGACAGCTGGAGTTTCATCTCAGGAGAAAAAATTGGTTCAAAACGACCGAGAGATGTAGGTACAGTTCCAAATTTCAATCGTTTTTTGAGGGTTGTCGCTGATTCCAAGACTTTCAGCGATAGATCGCGTTTGCTGTCACCATCTTCTGATCTTCTTCAGATTTCTATCACCAATTCTTCTGTGAAAATAAGTTTCCTTTGCGATTTTCTCATATACTTGCCCATGGTCAACTTGTTCCAAATATCTAAAAAAAAAAAAAAAAAAAAGAAAAATTAAATTCACAAAGTAGTACGCAGGTAGACAAAGAGTACGCGTGCATACTCTTTGACTGCATACTCTTTGCTTGCTCACTAAAAAGTTATAAATTTGACAACATTGTGGACCTTGATATCATAACCTCAAAAATATTATAATGATTGTTTACCTAAAGAAGGCCTATCAAAAATATTCACAACAAATATTCCTCAATTGAGTTATTCATGCGTATATTACTCTTTTGAATATTAACAAAAATTACATCAAAATAGGTTAATATTGGATTTCTTACCTTTTTCTCGAAAACAAACGGCCCATGTTGTGCCCAGCATTAAATTTTCGTGAGCACATAGCAACAATAAGCCGGAACACATACACAAGTGAACGTTAAATATTAAGGTACTTGGACTATTTAAATAACGAAAATTGGGTGATAGATCACTTTAGGTCCCTTTGATTTTCAATATTTTTTTGATTATTAATGATAAACAAAGCAATTTCAAGATGGTTAGCGAGAAAAAAAATATGGATTCTTGAATATTTATCAAGTTATGATTTTTTTAATTTAATTTTTTTCTTTGTTAATTGTGCATCTTTGATAGGTATAGCGATATTAAGCTGATAAGAATAGATATTATTTATTGATCTGTGTCAAAGCGTGAGAAGCGAGAGGAATAAGACATTAGTGACTAGTGATTTTTTACAATTATTAATATTTTGTTCATTTATTTTGTTGACTTTAAAAGCGCACTTGCCGCTTCTCGAGCGTGATAGGACATTTCCTTGCGAGTGCGCATATCCGTAAAAAAAAAAAAAAAGATTTCTATTTTATGGCAAAATCACCACCTTGGTAAATATTTACAATATTTAATGTTTATGGAAAAGGTTTTTTTGAGGTTTTTTACTGATTTTATTGATTTTTTACTGGTTTTTTACTGACATTTCCAAAATTCCTACCTAATTTTTTATTAGTTTCCTCAATTAACTTAGTAGTTGTCTATTAATGACCTGACGGTGCAATCTTTGCATTAAAGTAAATGGTCAACATTTTGAACAATTATTGTAAACCATAATTTATTTGTTAATAAATAAGCAAAATTAATAAGTAAACAGTGATTTAATTATTGAGAAGAATAAAAGGAACAAACAATTTTTTTGCTCTACAGCCAAAATGGCTCATTTGCGGACATATGTTTATACAAACAAAAATGCTTGTTTTTTGTTTTGATGTCCCTTACCACCCTTTAAAGTTTGTCGGTATCTTTTTAGGACACCCTGTATATTTAAATAATATATTGTTTATCAAAAAAATGAACTCATCCATATTTTTTTTTCTTTATTATGTCCTAATAATTGCTCCAATGCAAATTTGAACATAGAAAAATTGTCCGTCTTTAGGGACCTAATGTGTTCTAGACCCGAAAATTGTATAATAATATTTGTTAAGAGATCCATGACTAAAAACAAGTAATTTCCTGTTTTTTGTTATTTTTCTTCCAAATTTCGCAAGCAGCCCTAAAACGTCGTTCTAATCACTTTTTCCAAATAACTTTTTCCGAAATTTTGCCATCTAACCTCTGCACTTTGGCGTTTCCATATCTAAATTTTCGAATTTGCACAACAGTGACCACGTGACCAATTTCAAAATGTACTTTTAGGTTATCGGACATGCAGGATTATTCGCACATAAGAAAAAATTCCATATACTACAAATAAAAAATTTCCCCATATGCAGCGAACATTATGGGGGACACTGTATATGGTTTAACTACTTTTAATCAAGCCGTTTTGGAAATTACAGGCTCTAAACTTCATGGAAATTACATTGAAAGACCTCCTGTGTCATGTCAATCAATAACAATGGAAACTTTGACAATGGCATCACGTACCAAAGGGTTTCAATGTATTTTTCTTAAAGTTTGGAACCCGATATTTCCGAAACGTCCCAATCAAAAGTAGTTAAACCCTATGATTTGAAATCCGAAAATTCGACTCTTTTCAACTATGAAGTATTATATATAGGGTGTTCTATAAGAAAAAACTAACCATATGTCAAAATTTGACATTTCTAAAGGAACAGAAAAGTTTTTGACATCGGATTCAAAAGTTTCAGGTAAAACCCCAAAACTTTTGTATTAACAATTTTTTGATTCACATAACCCCTGTTGTGGGGGGTCGATATATAGGAAAAGACCCTGCTTGTACGTAGGTTATTATTATTATTATATTTTTTTTTTTTTGTAAAAAATTCATAATAAAATTCTTAAATAAACACATTTCTAATAAAATTAAAATAAATTATGTTTAATAAAACTGTATTTTTTTTATTTCGTTTTATTTTTGTTTTAGTGACTGACTTTTTGCTTCTGTGTGTGTATTTTTTTTTGTTTCAATTTTATTTATTCTCTTCTTGTATAACTTAAGGCTTTTTTTGTTGTTGAATTAGTCAAAAGACAAAACACAAAGATTAAGATTAAGCTAAAATCACATAACAAGACAAAAAAAAAAAAATACAATTTAAGAGAATAATTTTGGCGGACAGGACATATACAAAAAAAAAGGAGCTTTGTAGTAGCTCTCGGCTCGATCCCCGGAACGTGTCCGCGTCCACCTTCGTATGTGCGATCCGCACGCTCGGTCGCTTAGCTACGGCATCTCACGGACTGTAAACACTTCCCCGCCGATGGAAGGGATACGAAAGGGCTGTGCTAGCTCAGCGTCGACGAATGGCAGCCCACGATAAAGTGACGTCAGACGCCTCTAGTAACTCGCGCACAGGAGGGGGTGCTCTGGAGGGGCACCGGTTCGAGTCCCTCACCATCCAACCAAACAGTTGAGCAGTAGTAGAAACAGACTCGACCGGCGTGCATACGAGATGCTCGTACCGTATTGACGTATACTATATATTTTTTTTTTGTTGAGTGCTAAATACTAAATACCATTCTATGATACCTCGTGAGCGTGTCGGTAAAAGAACGGTCGCATTCTAGTGTTCCATCGTTATACGTGGACAAAGTGTTGTTCAATATTGATAATTACTTTAGTGCAACGTTCAAAGTGTACGAGCACGAGGACAGTGTCGGCTCACCAAGGCCCTTACAGGGCATGGCGGCCACGACATACCTTCCGGCAAGTAGTGCGGTTTCCGATTTGGAAGGTAGTGCCTTAGGAATGAATATTGTCGGGGGATACCATACCAGCGCCTCACCGAGATCGGCTGCTGACGCTAGCGAAATGAAATACTTACCGCAGCATCACAATCATCACCATCACATCGCTAGTTCGCCAAGTCCTGGCGGACACGCCGCGATGTCTTTGTCGGCGGCGAATCCTTGGGTGAGCTTGCAACCCGGGGCCGATCCGTGGGCCGCTTCCATGGCTGGAATGCATCATCATCCCCATCATCAAGACGTTAAGCCTTTGTCACAACAAGCTGAGATGATGCATCACCAGCGTCAGCAACAACAGAGCATGGGCTCACCTCACGGTTGGCCCGGTCCGGTTTCTTCGGCACATTATCACCAGGGCGGTGCCGGATCGCCTCTACACCAATACCATTCGGTAATGAACAATATGTTGGCTCATCATCAAGGAGCACCTCAATTACATCACTCCTTGCACAGAGACATGCAAAGTCCGCACCACCCGCAACATCCTGACAGAGATGTTAGCGGCGGCGAAGACGAAACACCCACTAGTGACGATTTAGAAGCGTTCGCCAAACAATTTAAGCAACGCAGAATAAAATTAGGATTCACCCAAGCGGACGTTGGATTAGCCCTAGGAACGCTATACGGCAACGTTTTTTCACAGACGACTATTTGTAGGTTCGAGGCTTTACAGTTGAGCTTTAAAAATATGTGCAAGTTGAAACCGTTGCTCCAAAAGTGGCTGGAGGAAGCGGACTCCACGACAGGTTCGCCCACGTCGATAGACAAAATCGCGGCGCAAGGACGTAAGAGAAAAAAGCGCACTAGCATAGAGGTGTCCGTGAAAGGTGCTCTTGAACAACACTTTCACAAACAACCAAAACCTTCCGCTCAAGAAATCACCTCATTAGCAGACAGTCTGCAATTAGAAAAAGAGGTTGTCAGGGTATGGTTCTGCAATAGGCGCCAAAAAGAAAAACGAATGACGCCGCCCAACACGTTGGGCGGCGAAATGATGGACGGTATGCCACCAGGTAGTCATATGCACCCGGGCTACGGTCACCATCCTGATATGCACGGTTCTCCGATGGGCCAACATTCTCATAGTCATAGTCCTCCGATGTTGTCTCCCCAAGGCATGAGCCATCAACTTGCTGCTCACTAGCACGTAGCCCACTGGGCCTCCCTTCTTCACCACAACGACAACGGCTAATAACGAAAGCCGCCCTGGGCGGCTTCACTACCTCAAAAAGGACTGACGTGCGTCTAATGAGCCGTTGAGGAGGCTCGAGTGGACTCGGTAAAAAAAAAAAAACTCAAAAGTGCAAGTGAGTACTAGTACCTTAGAAACTGACCCGTGCCGGGTCGCTTTGTACAATGTACATTTTTTTTTCAAATGTAAATAAGAAGAGTGATAAAATAGCCGTTTGCGCCAACGCGACGGTAACCTGTAATATATAATAAGTAGAATGGACTTTGTAAATAGTAATAATAATATTTAATTATTATTATTATCTTCTTTTGAAACGCCCTCACTTTCTAGTTTTTGTGAGTGAATAAATTAGGAGAGATGAAAATTCGGGAATAATTTTTTAAAAAAAATTGGTAAGTTTTTTTTTTGTTTTTATAATTCTTACCTACCCTATAATATTGGCACAAATTGGTGTGCACCTGTTTTAATTTATCATAAACACTATGCCAACGTTTTGTTTAACATAAAATAATTAAAACAATGAATCATTGATTTTAATTTTATTCATCTCTCTTATTTTATCTGGCGCAACGTGATTTGTATTTTTTAAAAAAACAGGAAAATTTTAAATACAAAAAATGGGACGGTTGTCAAAACCAGAAACAATTTAAAAATGTAAGTTTATATGTATAGCTAGAATGTCATACATATATTATTAAAAAAAAATTATTAAGAGTTGTTTTTGCGTTGTTATTTTTTTTTTGGTTAGTGTCTGTGCAGTTTGTTCTTGACTTTTTATTTTTGGATAATCAGTCAAAATAAAATAACTTAATAAATTAGGTTGATATGGGTGTTTTTCCTTTTTGTATTTGGTCATTTTTTTTGGCTCGTTTTTGTCTTTTTTTCGGATTTCAATTTTTGGCAATACATATACCAAGATGAAAACGAGATAAAACTATACCAAAGTATATAATTTAAATTAAGTAATAAAAATTCGAGAATTTATATCTTGTAATATTGTTTTCAATGTTTTTATAGTTTTCTAAGATTCCAATTTGTTAAAAATGTTAAATTTATAATTGTCAATCAACAGGAAATATTTCGCAAGAACAAACGAAAAATAAATTCAAAAATTTTATTTTTCTGTTAGTTTTTTTGGTGTGTTTATATTAACTACAACCAAAATGTGGCACACCCTTTATTATTTTTTTGACTAAAAAAATTTAATGTGATTTTTATTAGAATTTTATACCAGTTAAATAAATCAGAAATTTGTTGCAATCACTTTAAATTTGGCTTTTTATTTTGCTTCCTTTTTGGTGTGCCAATGTCAATCAAAAGCACACCAAAAACAAACAAAAAATTTCCTGATGATGATACAAAAGTGTCCCTACAAGCCGAAACGTCTCTAGTCATATAATAATAGTGCGTGTGGTTCAAGGGCAAAAATGTGTTGAGTGTTTCCCGGGTTTATATGGGACAGCTGGTAAGTTTTTATAATAAAATCTTTTTTGTTGCTATAATTACCGAATAAACACAGCTTTGTGAGGGTAGGGCCATTCACCACCACCTGTGAACGGCCCCTGTAAACGTGTGATATCAGGGACAGAGATTTTTGCAAATTAATTTTTATTAAACTTGAAAGATTTAGTCCACTCTGTTTATCTAAAAAAAAAGCAAGGTATTCTCTCAAAATGTTAGTTCCCATCTGTTAGAAAAGACAATAATTTATCTGTCAAGTCTGGTTTGTTCTGGGTGGGGTTTCTACCTGGAAGGTGACTGTCCTTGATCCTATTTTCGATTTCGAATTGGGGGAAAACTTACTTTTGACCATATGAGATTCGTCTTCAGCAGAAATGTTAAAAACATTGTTGAGCAAGCCACGACAAAATAATAACTAATTTGGCTAGTTTTGCTCACCTAAAATCAAATAAATTTGAAAATTTTGATGCTAAAATTATTGTAGACAAAAAATTATTAGCAAGAAACTTCCTTTCTTCTTCAACTTCTTTAGTTTTTGTTCAAACTTTCTAACTTTGCCAAGCACAGAATCACAAATTCAACTCATTTTGGTGAATCTAATTTTTGAGTTAGTTTTGTGTTGTAGCGACAAAATTTTCTTTTCTCAGCATTTCCTTAGGTATATACACATATCTTGAACTTTTGGCGGTTTTTTTTTTTGTCTTGAAACTAAGTTTTTCCAATTCTTCAGTAGCTTTTCAGAACAAATACCTGTCTATAGTAGGATTTTGACTATTGGTTTCTTTCCCTAAAGCACTTTTTAGAGGTTTTTCTATCACTGTTTCATTATTTTGTTCTCTGGTTTTCCCTACAGCTTTATTTTCAACTTCTCAAAAATTTCCACTAAATTTTAACTTTACTATGCCATAGAAACATAAAATGTTTTGAGTTGATTCTAGTTTCAACCAGGGGCGGGGGCAGTTTGAGTTAAAGTAGCCAGATTGGGTTAGTTTTGGCAGCGCATTGTGCAAGATACGGTTTTTCGAAGGAATGACCCATAAAAATATGGGAATAGGGGAACTATTTAGGAGAATAACATTGACCGAATAAGGTGATTTTAAATAGGTAGGTACAGGGTGTTTTTTTTTATATATATTGACACCCCACCTACAGCCTTTCCTTTTACAGGTAGAAGAAAGGTGTAAATACAAAAGTTGTACAGTTTTGGCTGAATTTTTAGAAACCATGGTCAAAAACAAACTTTGAATGTCAGAAATGTGAAATTTTGCATGCTTCCAGCTTTTTTCAAATGGGATGCCCTATATTTCATTCTATATTCTTGAAGAGCACAATGCCCCAATTCCAAAAATATATAGTTTGTCTATATTTGATTGAACAGACTCTCATATATTCGGTTCCAAAAATTGTAAAAATACTATTCTACTACTGATTTTGTGAACCATTCTATCAAAAGCTGCAGGTAAAATTTGAGGTACTTGATTTCTCTGAAAGTATTTTTAAAATTTTTAGAACCAAATATGTTAAAGACGGCTGAACCAAATATAGACAAACTATATAGTTTTGAAATCGGGAAATTGTGCTCTTCAAAAATATAGAAATAAATATAGCGCACTCCCATTTGAAAAAAGCTGAAAACATGCAACATTTCACATTTCTGACATTCAATTTTTGTTTCTGCCATGGATTCTAAACATTTAGCCAATACTGTACAACTTTTATATTTACACCTTTCATCTACTTGTTAAGGTGTGAAGGCTGTAGGTGGGGTTTCAATATATAAAAAAAACACCCTGTACTTGAACAATAACTTATTACATATATAAAGTCAGAATTTGTAAGATTATCCACTTTTTGTCAATTTGCCTTTCAACAGGAATTAGTATGGTTACTTTACCAAACTAGTAATATAATGTGACAAGTTATTCAAGTACAAATGAGTGAATTGTTGCGGAACTTATGGGTGGACCTCTGCGGGACGAGCGCAGCGAGTTCCGCAGCCATCTATTCATCAATATACGTTGTTTAATTACGATACTAAACTGACTCACTCAAATGTGTGTTATTCTCATTAGTTTAAAAATTACACTCAGGTGAATGTCTTACTTGAACAGTTCAACAGTATATTGGTGATTAGATGGCTGCGGAACTCGCTACGCTCGTCCCGCAGAGGTCCACCTATAAATTCCACAACAATCCACTTATTTGTACTTGAAAAATAACTTATTATATAAATTCAAAATTTGTAAGAATATGATTATTCACTTTTTGTCTATTTGCTTTTCAACAGGAATTAGTGATGTTACTTTACCAAAATAGTAACATAATGTGACAAGTTATTAAGGTACAAATGAGTGAATTGTTGCGGAACTAATGGGTGGACCTCTGCGGGACGAGCGCAGCGAGTTCCGCAGCCACCTATTCATCGATATGTCGTTTAATTAGAATACTAAACTGACTCACTCAAATCTGCGTTATTCTCATTAGTTTAAAAATTACACATTTCAGGTAAATGTCTTACTTGAACAGTTCAATAGTTTATTGGTGATTAGATGGCTGCGGAACTCACTGCGCTCGTCCTGCAGAGGTCCACCCATAAATTCCGCAACAATCCACTTATTTGTACTTGAACAATAACTTATTATATAAAGTCAGAATTTGTAAGATTATCCACTTTTTGTCAGTTGGCCTTTTAACAGGACTTAGTAATGTTACTTTATCAGACTAGTAATATATTGTGACAAGTTATTCAAGTACAAATCAGTGGATTGTTGCGGAACTTATGGGTGGACCCAGCCATCTATTCACCAATATGTTGTTCAAGTACAATACCAATCTGATTCACTCAGTTGAGAATTTTTCTCATTAGTTCAAAAACTACAAGTTTCAGGTGAGTGTCTTATTTGAACAGTTCAACAGTATATTGGTGAGTAGATGGCTGCGGAACTCGCTGCGCTCGTCCCGCAGAGGTCCACGCATAAGTTCCGCAATAATCCACTTATTTGTACAGGGTGTTTCTTTATATATTGACTCCCCACCTACAGCCTTTACCTTCACAAGTAGAAGAAAGGTGCATGTAAATATAAAAGTTGTAGGTATAGTTTTTGCTGAATTTTTAGAAACCATGGTCAGAAACAAAAAACAAAAAAGCATGCAATATGTCACATTTCTGACATTCAATTTTTGTTTTTGACCATGGATTTTAAAAATTTAGCCAATACTGTACATCTTTTGTATTTACACCTTTCATCTACCTATAAAGGTAAAGGCTGTAGGTGGGATGTCAATATATGAAAAAACACCCTGTACATAATCTTATTAATTTTGTATGAATATTTATTTATTAGAACAAAAAAAAAATAATACATCAACTCATCCACTAATGATATACTATTTGAGGTTAAAGTTCTTGGGACAAAGACAAAAGTGTGATTTTTTTATAGGTTTCCAGCTTTCTAAACATTCTTGAAACTTGAAATATGATTTTGTTTTCTTTTTTTTTTTTAATTTTATAATTTAATTTTATAAAGGGGGGCAGTTGCCCCCCCTGGCCCCCCCACTGTATCCTCCACTATCGCTCTTTCATTATTTTGTTCTCTGGTTTTCTCTACAGCTCTATTTTTAACTTCTCCTCAAAAAATTGCCCTTAAATTTCAACTTTAATGCCATAAGAACTATAAAATGTTTTGAGTTGATTCTAGTTTCAACTTGAAAAGCATTAATTTTTGCTTTAAAATCATACATTAAAGTTAATGAGAAGATTGAAATTTTTTTATCTAAGAAATTCAAAATTTTCTAAAGCCAAATTACAAGGGGTAGACTGCAGGTCAGTTTTTGTACACCAGATTGCAGTTTTGATTTCTGCTGCTTACCCGTAAGATTGCCCAAGAGTTCCCCTGATTTCATCTGATTACCCGTAAGATTGCCCAAAATTTCCTCTGATTTCTATAGAATTCCCCTCTAATGATTACCCTGCAGCCACCTTAATTTCTATTTAAATATTATGCAGAAACAAAAACTGATTCTTTGGGAAAATGAAAGTAAACTAAAAAAAAACACGAAACGTTAACATTTATTATCGAGTAATATAAATTTTGCTCTTAAACACAAAAATCACAAACAAAATTTGTAAGTGAGTCAGCATCCGTGCACTGACTATGTGCCCACTTCCCGCAATGAGTAGGTACATCAAGTTTCTGATTTCCCAACGTCTTGACATATTATGCACACTTCACTGCTTTCATTATTCAAGTTAATGTCTTGGTTAATATCCAGATTATCACCATCAATGTCGTCCATTCTGTGATCATCACAAAGTTGACCAAAATTATTATTACTCGAGTCGCTTGATGACGGTGTGTCAGTTGAAGTTTCAATTAAATACTCGAAATCCCTTGTGTCGGCAATTAGATATTGCTTGAGTTTTGGATTCAAATTTGACCCGAGATTTAAACTTTTGCTGTTCAGTTGTTGGGTCTTG